TCGTGTTGTTAATGAGCAGCTTGTTTGGGTAAACAAACCAGGTGAGGTGAAAAAAGTGATGGTCTCCAGCAGGAAACACAAGCGAACATTAACCAGATGGAGAGCCGCGCTTCCACACGCTCGCTATTCCGGAGGCTCTGGGTGGCTGCAAGGGACATTGCTGCACTGCATGTGAGCTGGGACTCTGCACATCTCCTGCCAGGCCTGAATTTCCTGCTGGGGGAGAAAAGCCAGCTTGTGCCCAGTGCCACTTGAGTGGAGACCTATGTCATGCCCTCCCTGGTAAATACTTGGCTTATCATGGCTCTCATAGCCTCATGCAAGGAATATGCTACAGGTAGGGAAACTTCACTTGGCTCGTCCAAGTGAAGGCGAAGGATTTGAACCCAGGTCAGCCTAATGTTCAGGTCCATGGCCTCACCAACACCCACAGTCTTGCTTGGCCTCATGCTTGCCTCACCAGTTCCTGCCATCTGAGAGCGGTATCTGGCTGCCACTCACTGCTTCCCCACTGAGATCACGTGGTGAGGAAGACGTGAACAGCCACGGAGGGGCTCCTCCCTGTCTGGTCAGGATGATGCAGCTTTCTAAAAATCATGGAACAAGTTTAAATGTCACATGGTTTTTCTTATGTCAGAGACCCATAATATAAATAAATTGTAGAGCAAAACAAAAGATAGTAGAAAACAGGGAAATAGATACTTTGCAAAAGGAAAGGCAACCAAGAAATGGAGGGAGGGGTGAAAGGAAGGGGAAGGAGATAGAAAAAGAATTAAGATGTGTGATGGACAAGTAGCAACTCCCCATGATGAATGTAATCAATGTGCACTGCAAACATGCACCAATAAAATAAAAATTAAATAAAGTAAATTGTGAGTAGATCTTCAACCAACTTCCCTGTGACAACAAAGAATGTGTATATGTGCATGTGCATGTGTGTATAAATCCATCTGTTTATTCCAAGAGAAACTTGAAAATCAATAAGCAAGGGCCATTCATAGTGCTTTCATAATAAGCTTTCCACATACTACACATTCTGTTTTGTTAGTCTCAGACCGCTGTGGACAACACACAAAGACATGGCTACACTTTATAAACAAGAATGACTTGGGTAATTGCAATGGCTAAATTTGTCTCTCACACAGACAGGGCTAGGAGAAGGGAAGTTCAAATTACAAACTTAAACCTACATATGTTTTTGGTTCTCTCTGTATTGCTCAAGTAAAAAAAACACCTCACATCACATTCATATGATATAACATGGTGAGTTGTTTCACCTTAGCAGTAAAGGGCAAAGAGTCCATTTAGCTGTCATGGACCACACAACCAGCAGGAGAAGTCTGCGCAGGCACTTTGGCTTTCGTTGCCTGGAACACACGTGGTTTGCCCAAGATGAACCCTCTATGGTGTCCTTGCTCATTTTTTTCCTAGAAGCAGAAATCAATTACTCCAGCTGCTATTAGAGAGATGATCTGGTTGAAGAGGCTTGCTGTGAATGCAGCCACTGTTCATTATTGAGTTCTTTACATGTATTATATCCTTTTTATTACAAGAAAGCAGGCTTAGAGAGAGAGCAGCAACCTGTCAAACAGCCAGAGCAAACACTATGTGCTGGGGTTGGAGCCATGATTCTTCTGGTTCTAAATCCTGGCTCCTTAACTGCCAGCTCTCCTGCCTCTCCTGCACATGGCCTAGCTCATGGAAACTCCCAGATTTTGAGGGATCACATGTGAGGGATCCATATGAGGCTCTATGGATGGCTTATAAGGCTAGTCCTTCCCTTACTTTAACAGCAAAGAGATAGATGCTTGGGAAACAGGGAAGGACTTGCCCAAAGTCCCTCGGCTGAAAAGTGGCAGATATGTGTGAATGAAGAGAGTTTGTTTTCTGCCCTGCTAGGCTGCCATACAGCTAGTGCCATACAAGCCCAGAAGCAGGGGCATCTACTAGCAGCACCTCTGCTGAATTCAGAAGCGTTTTCACTGAGCGTCTTGGCTGTCTTTCATGTAGGTGGAAGCCTTTCCTTTGAATGAACCAATTATGTTCAAACAGCAAAAAATAAATTATGCATATTAGCTAATGAGGATGCTGTTCAGGTTATTTTTAGCCAAGGAGAGGAGACAAGGGAGGAGGGAGAGAGAGAGTCAAAGACACAGAGACAGAGACAGACGGACAGAAAGATAGACAGACATATAGAGATCTTGATAACTTGGTGTAAATTGTTTTGGAAGAGATAGTTTAAGAATCAAACAGTCTTTAGTACAGGCTTTAGCTTTTAGCACTGTTGATTGGATGATGTGGGGTGTGGATCGAAATCACCTCCCTTATCTGAAAGTGTGCATCATAGTACTAACCTTTCAGGTGTGCTGTCAGGATGGGAAATAGCTCCTCCTGTAAGCAACCTGAACTGATCTGTCAAAATGCCTCACTACTTACTTAATGCACAAACCCCCACAACATCATGGAAATCAAGAGGTCCAAATTCTCTTGATGAGTATAAAATAATTATGACACGGCCCAGAGCATCAAAGATGTGCATATCTGAAAAACCACCAAGTAGCTGAAAGATGTCATTTTAAAGAAACAATGGCTGCCACTGGGTGTTGCAATGATGGAGTCAGTTGGTGTGCCTGGGTCAAACAATGCTCAGGTCACAGGACTGATGACCATAAAAAATTGCAAGAATTTTGGTTACATATAGTTTAAAATGCACAGTAATTCTGAGTTTAAACATAGATTATCTGCTCGGTGAATATTTCCAGGTGAACAAGTTACCCTTGATGTGCCACTCATGGTCAGATTAGCCCTTATACAAGCACCCTTGTTACATGGTGATGATCCTCACCAAAATAGAATGAGCTATTTTTAAACAAAAAGAGGAAGTTGCACAAAAGGACTGTAGGAATAATAATACATGGAAATAAATTCAGTATAAATGACATGCAAATAAAAGTAAAAAAGATTGGGGATAGTAAAACACTCAGTGGTCTCCAATTGTTCCTATGTTAATGCTTTATTTATCATCAAATATGCGTTGCCACCGGGCCTTCAGTATTTACAATTTAGCCTCATTCTGTAAAGTATGTACCAACAGTATCTATCCCCAATGAGGGAGCTAAATTAAGAACCAGTAATCAATGGAGGAAAACAACAGCAAGCTAAGACATTGTATCTTGGGGGATGTAATACATGATCCCACAATTAGGAGTCAGGACACTTGGGATAAGATTGGCTACTTTCTGTCTTTTCCATCCTAGGTAAATCACTCAAGCCCTCTGTGTATCACAAGTTTCTGTTTTAAAGCTATGACAACAGCTCTCTCTGTTTATTGAGCAGCTGGAAAAAATATAAAGTGTTAAATATTTTCAAAGTTGTATTATTAACAATGATGAGGTAATGGACTATAGAGTCAGAAGACGGGCAGCGCCCTGGCTGCCCAACCAACCATATGTGAGGAAGATGCCTGACCTCAAAAGAACATAAAGATCTTTAATTTACACTTAAAATAATATTTACTCAAAATGGATCACATACCAAATGTAAAAGTTAAAAACTATAAAATAAGTAGAAGACAATATGGGGAAGAAACTGCATGACATGAGAGTTGGTTGTAATTTCTTGGATACAATACCAAAGCCACAGGCAACAAATGAGCAAATGAAATGGGTGCACCTAAAAAGAAAGAACAAAAGCTTTTCTCCATAAAGGATGCTACCAACCAAGTGAAAAAATAATCTGTGGAAAGAATAATTGCAAATCGTATACTTAGAAGGGGTTAGTACCCCAAATGGATAAGTAATTCCAACAACTCAAGAAACAAAAAAAACTTGGTTTACAAATGGGCAAAGGCGTTGAGTGGACATTTTTCCGAGAGGACATACGAGTCGCAAAAGAAACACAACATGAGGTGACAACGTTGCTAACCATTAAGGAAATTCAAATCAAGACCACACTGAGATACGACTTCATAGTTATGAAAATAGACTTTATATAAAATGAACAAACCAAAAGTAAAATAAAAGGAACAAAACAAAAACCAGGAAATGATAAGTGCTATACTGGAAAGGATGTGGAGAATTTGGAGTCCTGGTATAGTAGGAGTGGGAATGTAAAATGGTTCAACTGTTATGGAAAAGAGTATGATCCCTCAAAAATTAAAAATAGAATTATTACATAATCCAGAAATTTTACTTTTGGGTATGTAACCAAAAGAATTGAATGTAGCTGTGTTGTATATTGTAATCCTACTATTCTGGAGACTAAGACAGAAGGATTCAAGTAGGTGTCCACCCTGAGCAATTTAGCAAGACTCTGTCTTAAAAAAAAAAAGCTGAGGGGCTGGGGATTTAGCTCAGCGGCAGAAGCGCCTGCCTTGCAAGCAGGCAGTCGTGAGTTCAATCCCTGGTACTGATAAAAAAGGAAAAAGACACACACACATACAAAAAAAAAAAAAAAAAAAAAAAAAGCTGAGTATGTAGGTCAGTGGTAGAATTCCCTGAGTTTGACTCCAAGTAACACAACAAACAAGCAAGCAAGCAAATAAATAAGCAAATAAATGAATGGGATGAATTTCAGTGCTAGAGCATTGCCTGGCATGTGAGAGACCACAAGTTCAATTCCTAGCTCCAACAAAACAAAACAAAACAAAACAAAAGTGAAATCAAAATCCTGGAGAGATACACATTAGTGCATTCATGTCCACAGCAGCATTATTCACAAGTGCCAAAAGGTGGAAACAACTCAGGAGTCCATCAACAGATAAATTGACCATCGAAATGCATATGTATAAAAAGAAGTATCACCCAGCCTTTAAAATGAAGGCCGTTCTGTCACAGGCTTACAGATGAATGAATCATAAAGACATTATAGTAAGTGAAATAAACCAGGCACAAGAGTTCAAAGACTGTATAAGTCCACTTATGTGAGGTTATGTGAGAGTAATCTGACTCATGGAGACACAAAGCATAGAAATGTTGCCAGGAGTTGCCAAGGAAGGAGGGCAGGAAGTCACTGTATTGTTTGATGCGTGAGTGCTCACACTTGGCTTCCCTCGCTTGGCTGCACTGAGTGAAGAGGAAACATTTTGGTCTGCATATGAAATACATGATGCAGGTAATATACAGAGGTAACAAAGCATCTTTTTTGTATTTTTTATTATAATATTTTAAAAAGGGGCAATGTGGGAACACATGGCCTTGTTTTTGCAAAGTTAATGTATGGTTGCCTGGTTCAATGAAAGTGCTTGCAAGTTTTAGTGACTTCTCAAGGTGCTCTTCAGAAATTTTGGATCTACTTTTACTGTTCATGTGCTTCATTCTTGAAAACAGTTTTTCATCAGGATGTAGTGTGCACCTGTAAAGTCTTGCACTTTGGGAAGCTGAGGCAGGAGGATTGATTGCAGATTCAAGATCATTCTGGACAACAAGGCAATTTAGTAAGATCCTGTCTCAAGATGAACAAGAAATAAAGTAAAATAAATAAATAAGTAATTTTTATAAAGGGCTGGGGATATAGTTCAGTGTGAACACCCTGGCTTCACTTCCCAGTAGAGAAAAACGTTTTCCACAAACGTATGCACTGCTGAAAATAGTGATATGAATACAGTACGAGTGTGAAGCAAGGGTCCTAATCAAATTTTTCTTTGAGTTTAAGATTTGACTGAAACTCTGTGTATTCTATTTGAAAATCTGCAAGGAACCAAAAATGGAGTTACAAATTTACAAGAAAAAGTTTAAAAAATAAAACTTCCATGCCTGTTTAAAAATGATAAACATCTGTCTTCACATACACAAATATTATGACCACCGAGTCACAGGTAGCATTGCTACCCACTGGTTTCTCTTTAGATGATGGCGTGTGGGTGCGGTGGGCACAAGAGGCAGTTACACTGTGCTGAGCCCACCCCTTGTCTGCTGCCTCCGCCTGGAGCCTGGTGCAGGTGAGTCATGCAAAATGCCACACCAAATCACATGATGGTGTTAAACGTTTATGATCTTGTGATATCAGCTGTCCAGAGTCTCCGGGGGTCCAGGGGCCACGGGCTGGGCACACCTCGTTTAATGGGTGTAGGGTTTTGGTCTGGAAATACAGAAAATTCTCTAGAGACGGACGGTAATGATAGTTGTACAATGCTGTGAAAGCACTGCACGATTTTATGTTAATGTTTATTTTAGCACAACTGAAAAAAGAAAGTAGAAACAATAGAAGATAAATACATTAGCTCAGTATACTAAATTCAAGTTTAAGAAGTCATTTCCTGAGCCAGGAGTGGTGGCCCACACCTGTAATCCCAGCTACTGAGGGGCCTGAGACAGGAAAAATAAAAAAGAGTTTGAGGCCAAGACTCCTGGCTCAAAAACAAGAAAAAAAATTGCTTCCCAAATTTTGTTTTGTGGCTTATAATTGTTTTTAGCAGATGTACCTCAAAATGAAGATTTAGTGGTCATTTGTTTACTGCATAAATATTACTGGTTACTGCCTGTATGCCAACCTTTATACTCAATGTCATCTAGATGTGGATAAACCTATCATGGCCCCTATCTCAATTATGTGACACTTTAGCAGAATAGTATTCTTACTAATCAAATACCTATGTACTAATGTTGGGATATAATTCAGCAGTATAACCACTTGCCTGGCATGTGCGAGGTCATGAGTTCGATTCCTGTTACTAGAAAAAAAACCCCCAAAAACTAATGTTACAAATACCTCTGTACTGAATACCAAATAGACAGCAAGAGGCTTACATTCTTTGATTCATTTCATCTTCATGAGATAGGGATCAGCATCTCCTCATTAAAGAAGAAACTAAGGCTCAAAGAGGTTAAGTAACTTTCTCTAAGTTCACTCAATTAGCAGCCTGAGTGTGCCTGACCCCAAGCCCATTCCCATAGCTACTGCTGTATCCTGTCTGCATTCTCCTTGTAGGGTGCACTTTGTTAAACATGAAAGGCAGGGAGAACTTCTACAGCTCAGAATACTGTTTAATTTGGTATGACTCTGCACATCCCCAACTGTGTGTGGAGATGGAAGCAGTGCCCTTATTTCTACGGTATATAACCACAATACCCAAGAGAACTGAAAACATGTCCACACACAGATGTGTACAGAAATGTTCACAGCTGCACTAATTACTCATAATATCCAAAAAGATAAAACAACTCAAATGTCCATCAATGGTGGACCAACAGGATGTTTAAGTCAGTTGATAGAATACTACGTGGTAACCAAAAAGAATAAAGTACTCATGTGTGTTACACTCTGGATAGACCCTGAAAACACCATCTTAAGTGAAACACACCAGACATAAAGGTCACATGTTACATGATTCCACTTAAAATCTTTGTAATAAACAAATCCAGAGACAGGAAGTAGGCTTGTGGCTAGATGAAAGAGAGGAAAGATAAAGTGGTTGCTAATGGATGTGGGGTTTTTTGGGGGGATGAGAAAAGCATTCTGGAATTAGTGGTGATTGACTATACTAAAAACCATTGAGGTAACGTATTAAGGTGGCACATTTCACATGAATGATTCTCTTTCTCTCTCTTTCTACAGTAATATTAATTAAACCCAGGACCTAGCACATATTATCAAGCACTCTTTCATTGATTTGCATCTCAAGCACTTTAATTTTTTTTTGAATAGGATCTTGCTCAGTTGTCCAGGTTGGCTTTAAACACTTGCGATCTTCCTGCTTCAGCCTCCCAAGCAGCTGGGGTTATGGGTGTGCACTACTCTAACTGACTTATATCACAATTTAAAAAAAATAACTGCAACTTAATGTACTCGGATCAACAGGCCATTGAATCCTGATCCACAGGCCATTTGTTTGGCCTTTTTTGTGTGTGCTGGGAATCAAACTCAGGACCTCGTGCTTGCCAGGTAGGCATTGTGCTGCTGAGCTACATCCCTGTTCCGTGTCCAGCCATTTTATACTTCATAATCAGGGGTCATTAAAGCTTCTTGGGGGCACTACCCTCCCTCTTTAACACAAGCCTCTCAGTCCTAAGCTGAGAAGCCAAATAGGTACAGTGGTGTGAAGCTCAGAGCCTAAGCAGCACTTGGCATCAGTGCAGCTGGTATCACAGCCTTGGACTTTTATTTGCTCTGTCTGCTTATTTTGACAGCAATTAGGAAGGCAAAGTTCCTTAACATTTCCTCCTTACCGGAAGACATCAGTTCTGATGATTGATTATGACGTGTATTTGGCAGAGATAGGTTTCATTTTATTTGGATGATATCAGGGTCACCTTAGGTTTAAAGGAATTATAAAAACAATGAAACACTGAATTATAGAATTTTAGAACTGCAAAGAACTTTGAGGAGTTATCACCTGGCCTGATTCTCTTCTATGGGGAGACTGAGGCCCAGAGAAATGCAGTGGCTAACCAAGCATCATACATCTGATGCTACCAGTTGTCTTGCAATATCTGTCTTCCTCTTTTTTCCTATGAATGCCACTTGTCCCTTCAGCTGTGTGCCTGTGTATGTGTAATAAAGGCCACATTTTCTAGTGAGACATGATTGTATGACTTAAATTCTGGTTGATGGGATGGACCCGGAAGTGCTTTGAGCAACTCCTGGGAGTACACTTAAAGGTCAGAAGTCGGTTGGGGAAACCCCTTCTTCCTCCCCACAGGTGGGATGCAGATTACATAGCTAAAGTTCAAGCAGTCATCCTGGCCTGAAGTAGAAGTCGAGTTTGTAGAAGAGGAGAGCATTAAGAGGGTTCTGGGTCTCTGATGATTATGTAATTGTCATACTAGCTCTGGGATTTTCATCTCCACACCTTATGTGAAGAGAAATAGATTTCTATTTTGGTCACCTTCTGTTATATCAGTCTTTTGTTACAGTTGAATTTGAATGGATGCAAATGTAAACAATGAAGTTGAGTTGAGAAATTAGCTCCCCTGAATCCAAGCACAGAGCAATTTGGTACTATGCTTATTACTACGGTATTAGTAATAAATGTCGTGGGCTGAGATATAGCTTAATAAAGAGGACTTGAAAGTGTGAGTTTCTGGGTTTGACTCCCAGCACTGCAAACAAACAAACACACAAGCATAAATGCCTAACAACACTAAGTGTTTTGTATATAATAATATAATAGTTGCTGGTACTTTTTGAGTGCTTATCATATGCTAGTCACTAAATAACTTTAACTATCATTAACTCATTTGACTCACATTCAATCTCAGTAAAATGGCCTATTGTTATTGTTGAGCTCAGGACCTCATCTGTGCTAGACAAGTGCTCTGCTACTGAGTTATAACCTTGGGCCCCCAAATAGGTCTATTATCATCATTTCCATTTTATAGATAAAGAAACTGAGGCACAGAAAGACTGAATAACTTGCCCAAGATCACATACGTGTGTGTGTGTGTGTGTGTGTGTGTGTGTGTGTGTGTGTGTGTGTGTATAGCAAGAGGTAGAGCTGAGAGTTGAACCCCATTTAGTATTAGAAGCAGACTCTTAATCTGTGTTCTCTCTCCAGACCACCCTGCTGTCTCAGAGGCCACCTGGGCAGACAAATACCTCCACCCTCTGCTTTTCCAACAGCCACCCAACAGGCACCTAGACATTTTTGTGGCCAGGATGGCTACAACTTCCTTTGAAAAGCAGCCAGCTTTTGCCCTCCATCAAATAACTTTGTTTTATTTATAGTCTCCTGTTCAGAGCTTTTGAACTGGCTGCTCATTCCAGGGAAGATCTTGATAACAACTGTTCCTTGGAGAGGGTTCATAGGAAACAAGGTGAATAAACACTACAGAGCCTCTGCCTGTCTAGCAGAGCTTTGCTCCTGGCGGTGTTTATAAGTCGGCGTTGGTGTCTGGGCCCAAAAGACTTTGAATTCAAAATGGCAGCTTGGACATTTTCATTTTTGTTGTTGTCGTTTTAATTCAAAAAAGTTTACTTTTTACCTTCAACAATGCTCAAGGCAGTGAAAGAGAAATTATCTTTATCCAAAAGGTTACTCCAAAGAGAAGTCTTTTCTATTTCTCTTCTTGCTTTCTTTGCCGGTCAGGCCACTGGCCCATGATATTACCTTTCTGACTAGGGGTTGGAAGTGGAGGCCCTGATTCTATGAATTTATAAGAGCTAAAATATAAGAAAGGATGAATGGCATTCCAGAGTAGAAAATTAGAAAAAAAAAAGACAACAATGAAAGAAAAACAAAAAACAAAGAGAAGCAGCAGAAGAAAGAAAAGTCTAATATCAAAGGTGATCCCTTGAGTTTATATTGTGAGTTGTGGTCAAAGGTTCCACCCTAAAGCATGACTACATCTGCCATGTATGCCTGGAATTCTTCAGACTGGATGTTAATCTTTGCCTCAACAATTGCTAGTTCTCTCACTTTGGGAATGTCCTTCAGTTTACTATTTATAAAATGGGGACACAAACTCACAGGAGTATTGTGAGAGCTGGCACTAACCAGCCATAAAAAGTGTCTGATTCAGAGAGGCAAGGTGCTTATCTCTCAGCAAGAGCTAAGCTAATGGTAGCTGTCTTGATTGCTTACTTAGAGATTCCTACAAGTCTATCAGGGATGAAATTGGGGGGTTTAGGAAAGCGAGCCACAGAGGGTATGGAGCAAAAGAGCGGGTTGGTGATTTTAGCTCTCAGTACAGTATCTTCATTTGCTTTGAGTTGATCTCAGTCAGAGGCTGTTATGGTTACCTGACGTTTCTGTACTGGAGCCCCCAAATTAGTTAGTAAGGGGACCAGAGATTCTGAAGGGTATGGCAGAGCTGAGCCAGTCACGTTATGCGTCCTATGAAGTCCTCAGGTGGTTTTCCTATGGATGCGTGGGGTCTCTTTAGAGCAACGGTCCTTCTTTAAGGATCATGTGGGACAGCGATGGTGTGATAGAGAAGAGGGTCTGTAAGAACCTCACCGAAAGGCATGAGATTTTCAAGGGAAAATGTATGTTTTCATGGAGGCCTGAGTGACATTGCTATGCCAAAGTGAGAGGACGCCACAGCAAGAGAGTGGATGAAGGTTTCTTCAGTGTCTTCGGGGGTCTCCATGCCATAATCAGACCTCTTTGGGTGGTAAGTGGGGGTTTCTGGGCGCTCAGCCCGCGCAGGTCAGCAGCGGCCCCACAGCGGGTAATCCTAGTCCTCGCGGGCACGCTGGAGGAGATGCGCGTGTCGATGCTTGGTTCCCGCCCCTCGCGGCCCCGCCTCCCAAGAGTGGACTACACTTCCCAGCAGCCCCCGCGGGCGGCAGCGGCGCGGGCGGGAGGGGGCGGCCTGTGAGAGGTGGAGGGGGCGGCGCGCTCCGGGCACGCGCGCCGGCGACCATGGCGTTTGCCCGGCTGGAGCGAGTACATTAACCCTGGGAGGCGGCGGCGAGGGAGCGAGCGAACCTCGAGCGGGCGGGCCCCAGCCTGAGGGAAGGGAGGAAGGGGCGGGGAGAGCGCCATAGGGAGGCCGGTCGGCCGCGGGCGGGCGGGCAGCGCAGCGCCAAGCAGGGCCCGCGGGCCCATGAGGAGGCCCGGGGACCATGGGCTCCAGGATCAAGTGAGTGCGGCCGGGCGGATCCGAGCCGGGCGCGGGGCGGCGAGGCCGGGCAAGGGCTGCAGGCCGCGGGTCGCGCGGGGGACTTGTTGCCGGGACCCGAGGGGCGCCCCGCTTGCCGGCGTCACGCGGGGAGGGGTACGGTTGCCATGGCGATGCGGGGAGGCGTAGGGGCGGGGTGGAGGGGCGCCAGGGGTCAAGTGTCCCCTCCTCGCCTGATGGCGGGAACTGAGGTTACGAGATGTCCCCCTCCGCGAGTTTACCGAGAGCCTTTGAAAAGGGCAGAGGGAGTAGGAAACCTATGGAAGCAGGTCCCTAAATGGGGTGTGTTTGGGGTGCCCCCCAGATTTGGCAGGTTCTGAGAGGGCATCATAGCTGCTGGAGTCCTGAGGCCCCCACAGGAATGGTGTGAGGTTCTTCGAGGGAAGGAACCCTGGTGGATTTACCTCTGGATGGCCTTGGAGGAAGGCCCTTCTCCTATTCCCCCTTCTTATCTGTAAAAGTCCCCATACAGCAAAGGCTAGGAGGAAGATTCCTCTATTGTAACAGCACCTGATCACTGTAATCTGTAACCCAATCAGTCAAATTTTCTCATTCATTCACCTGTGGTCCCCAGTGGGTGTTAGTTTTCCAGGGAATTGTTGATGTGTATAATTTCAGAATCTGTTGGAATATTGTTGCCTTTTTCTAAACATAGAAGTTGACTTTGGAAAGTATAACTTTTAGGTCCAATTTGGGTGTGTTGCCTTTGACTGTATCTCCCCTCCCAGCCGAGTCCCCTTCTGGCCTCTCCCTTCCTCAGCCTCAGAACATGAGATGCTTTATCTCTAATCACTAACAAATGTTCACTTTTTCTCTATGACTAATAGAATTGTTTAAGGGTATTTAAAAACAAACTTGACAGCGCAGACTTTTTGGTAAAACAGCTTTCACAAGACACTTTAAACCGTCTTATAGGAAAGTCAATGGAATGTGTTTATTTCAGCATTTTAAGAATTGTACAAGGGAAGTTTGAAAGGGGAAGGGCCTCAAGGGCGAAACCTAGTAATTATTCAAACATTGCATCTCATGTCTAGGTGAAGCCTGTTCAATGTGACCCTTGCCCAGCCTGCAGTCCCCTGAGTGGTTAGGCTTCTTATTTACAAACTGTGTCTAATATGTGCCGCAGTAACTCTGAGACATTTACTGAATGAAATAAAAAAAAATTTTGCTTATATGGAACATGGATGTGTTAGATGAGCATGCTGTTTATTTTTGTGGAAGTGAGAAGGAAAAAGAAGCGTGCTCCAAATAAGAGCTTGAAAGTCTGGTGAGGTTAAAAGATATAGTTTGAGAAGTATTGGGATTAAAAAGGCACTTCAACTATAGTTCTTGCTGCCAAGTAAGAATTGTAAACTTGAATTTCAACAGCACTTAGAAACACTTTCCAAAAGCCATCTTAGAGTTGCAGAGTACGCGTGAGGATGCTTACTTTTCTTGTTATGGAAGAGTTCAGAAACTTGAATGACATGACTGTCAGAACCAGCATTAAACTCCCACAAACAGAAGTTCAGATGACTAGCTGTCAGGTCTCTCTCTTGTTCTTGACAGGAGCAGGTTGACAAATACATTTCTCAAGTGTGTTTTGTGGAACTCATCACTGTAATATCTGAGCACTTGGGCAAGGGAATTTACTAAGGCATGAAATTGTATTAAGCGTGAAATTAGTATGAAGAATGGCTTTATTGATCTTAAAACTAGACTGCTCTGTGGTAAAATTTTAGGCTTGGGAAATACGTTAGCTTGTGGTGAGACTTCAATTGAACATGAAAAGAGAAGTTATGAAAAGTAGTTGTGATTTATAGCTACTGTTGATTGTGTAACTTCCTCCTGATGCTAGGAATGGAGATGGACAGGTGGCGAGGAAACCACCTACTAAGCCAGCCTAGTCTTTGGAGAAAACAGAGCTTTGGCTACTACTGGCTATTTCTGCATAGCAGGACAGAATAGATGCTAGCTGAGGGTGTTCACCTGGCTGAGGTGGAAGCTAAGTGCTCAGCTAAGTGCACGGGAGTTGGGTGGGGGAAATGTGGTACATAGTATGTGGATACCAAACAGTAGAACACCACGGCTGCCTGGCTTTTTTTTTTTTGTCTTATCACTGATACTTGTGTTGTCACAAAAACAATGTGGAATCAGATCTGGGTTCAAATTCCAGCTCTTTTCAGGCTAAGTGTAAAGCTGCACATCAATCGGCTTTCTCAGGGCCAAACGGGGTCACCTGTGTCCAGGTTGCAGGATCATTATGGGCAATAAACACAGCATCAACAGGAATGTTAGATTCATTATTAAAAACTCAGTCATCGTTAGGGTTTTAAAAATATGTTCTTATCAAAAGAACGTATTATTAAGAACATCTGATATATTTCATCCTAGAATTGTGAGAGATGTTTAAGCAATGGAGAAAAAATTTAATGGTTAAGGAATCAACTGTTAATGTGCAGAGCAGGACTTTGTCACATTATTAATAAATAAAAGCTGATTAAAAACAATACTGTGTGTAATTGTGAAGCTCATGTCTGTTCAGTGGTAAAGCATGTGAGTTGCTAGGCACAGGTGGTGAGATTTAATGCTTGGTCACACTTTTCGAGCCAAGGCTGATGGGGCACCATATCAAATCCTCACAACTGTTCAGTGTGCTGTTTGTTAACCACCTTTCTCAAATGAAGGTATGAGAATCTAGGCCTTGGGTCAGGTGCCACCCCCTGGAAGCCTGTCTTAAGGCTTGTTCTCCATTGCTACTCTGTCCCTTAGCAACCCACCACCAGACTAGACCAGCTGCCCCATCTATGTTCCTGTAGCCCTTCATATTTATCACTGCCATGGGGCCATGTCTAGCTTCTTGTCTATAATACTAAGTTGGATACAAGATATCAGAGCCAATGTTACCTTATTTCAGTGTATTAAACTCAGTGAGTGGTGCTGGCTTCTGCAGCACATAGACTAAATTTTAATGACTGGCACATGGTTGTTTAGGAAGAGTTTAAGGGTTGCATTTAAGAAACATGTTAGTATCTGAATTAAGATCCTACCTAAGACTGGGTTCTCTGATTTGAATACACACAGTTAAAAGGATTTGCTATTTGAACCATTGAGGAAAAAGAGTTTCTAGTAAATTTAAGCTAAATTGCCCTTATCTAAGCAGAATGTCCTTACTTTTACCAAAAAATGTTTGTTTAGTCTGTGTTTAATAAACGAACATTGTCTTGCCTCAAGCCAAACTCTAGTGGATGAAGGAAGGTCACTGATATGCAGGTGGCATCTTGGAAGCCTAAATCTGAAGTCAGAGCAGGCATTTATCTGGATGGATGAAAGGAGCAGTGGTAACTGACAATCTTCGACAGGTATGTTTAAATCTTACTTAGAATTTAAGTGATCCCGGTGGACCAGAATGTGGTTAATATGAAGCAATTTAACTGATAATGTAGACACACAGCAGGAAACTGTGGCAGTTTAATATTGCTTGTGGTGACATCCTAGAAATTGCTTCCAGGCACTAAGTACAGGAAGTGGGTTGTAAGTAATCGAAGGAAGTATTCTAAGTGAGTTTGAAGAGACCTGACATTTATGGTCTCCAAGAAAAGAATACTATAACATTTGAAGATATGGAAACAGAATGGGGCCACTGATTTGGCCTTGTGTTTATTCTGCTTTAACCTGTATACCTGTCTTCTGTCTCTGTCAGACTGTTGACTTCTTTGGCAGAGGTGCCCTAGAAATTTATCAATTTATTCATTCACTTCTTTACTACAGAACGAAGTGTCAAACACAGAGTAAGCACTTAAAAATACTAGCCATTATTATCATAATTAGCAGTATGTGCCCTAAGTTCTAGGCACATACAAATGAAAAGGTTTTTCTTTGCTCTAACTCTTTCTAAACTTGTAGACATAAATGTATCCCCTCCCCAGGCTCCTAAAGCCCTACCAAAACCCAGGTACAATGCAATGAAAATGGCTCATATGGATGAATAGGTAATGAAGTTTAGGACAGATTACCTATCCTGAAGGGTCAGAAAAGGAAGTCTTCATCAAGGAGATAATGTTTAAGCTGAGGGATGAGTGATGGTGTGAAAAGATTAAGCGTGGTGGGTAGAGGGAGTAGAGGTGGTGGCAGAGGTAGCATTAGCAGTGGTATTTAGAGAAGGAGTAGCACTATTAGGGAAATAAACTTACTGCCATTTATTAGCACTTACATGCTAGAAATTGTGTTGGACATCAGAATTTATAATGATGGACAGTATAGATTTGCCCCTGCTGTCATAGAGTGCTTGTAGTCTGGTGGACCTGACAGATAAGTAAACTCAGTAAATTCCCTAAAGCTATATGGATGTGTTGTAAAGGAGGCAAGATGCTGAGAGAGAATGGTGGGAGCAGAGTGGCTGTTCTGTTTTGGAGTGGTAAGAGTGGCCTCACTGAGGAGATGACATTTGAGCTGAGACTTACAGGACGAAGAGGCATTAGTCATGCCAAGAGACTGGGTAGACTTTTCATTCAAGACAGAGGGTAAAGCATACACAAAGGCCTGGAGGTGAAGGAGCCCTGGATGCATTTCAGGGACAGATAAGAGACTTGAGTAGTGAATCAAACAGGGTTAAGGTGAGGTCGGAGAGCTTGAGCTGGGTCTTGTAGGTCTTGGTAATCTGAAAACTGCTATAGTAAGAGGCAGTTCAGTGCTATAAAATTTACTCTTTTAAAATAAATGGTTTTTAGTATATTCATAAAAGTGTGGCTGACCCCCACTGTTGAATTCCAGAGCATTTTCTTTACCCCAGTAAGAAATTTAATAGCTCCCAACCCTCCTAACCCTAGGTGATTACTATTTGCACTTGCTGTAGATTTGCCTATTCTGGGTATTTCATACAAGTGAAATGATACATAATCCTGCATCTGTCTAGTTGTTGTGGCTTAGTATAATGGTTTCAAAGTTTAACTGTGTTGCAGTCTGTACAAGTGTTTCATTAC